AGTGCATTCTTCTGGGGAGGGGGTCAATGTGTCTAGGATTTGAGATGGCCCCGCAGAACTCTCTGTGAGTTTGCTGCTCCACACTGATATGTTGCCCTCAAGGCTTGGTGAACAGGGAAGAGGTCTGGCCCCTCTCTCCCTTTCCTGTGGAGACATAACCAATACCTTCCCTGTGGGTGGGTTTGTGCCCTGTTCCCCAACTACCCTCATCCTTTCTTTTTTTTTTTTCTTTCCCCCATCTTTTTAGTTGGCTGCCATATGCATCCCTGGGTTGGCTCTGACCCCTGCCAGGGTGCCTGGACCCTGCCCCAGGAAGGTATATATTTAGTAGCTTTTCCCCTATGCCTGGTATACTTTTTAAGCTTACCTCAGTGGACTCATGTTGTGCTTGTCCTTTTGTGTTTGGTTTACTTCACTTGGCATAATTTCCTCCAACTCTTCCTATACAATGATGTGTTTCATGCATTCACTACTGCTTTTGTATATAATCCATTGTTTGTATATACTAGAGGTTTTTAATCCATTCATCCATTGGTGGAAATTTAGGTTGTTTACAACTCTTTGCAATTGTGAACTGCACCGCAATGAACATTGAAATGCAGATGGCTGGTCATGGTCTGTTTCTTCCTTCTTCTGGGTATATGCCTAGTTGGGGTGTAGCTGGGTCATATGGTAGCTCGATTTCTGTTTGTTTTAGGTATCGTCAGTTCGATTTCTATATTTGCTGCACATACTGAGCTTTTGAATTGGGCTATCTTTGAGGATGTTTGGCGGCATCTCATAGTTGTTTTAATTTGTATTTACCTTATAGCTAATGATTGGGAACATTTTCTCATGTTTATGGGCCATTCGGGTTTCTGCACTTGTCAAACGTCTGTTCAGGTCTTTTGCCCACCTCCTCAATAGGCTATTCGTTTTTTTCACTTTTTTAGGCTAGCACAATATTGTAGATTTTAGTAATAAGGTCTTTGTCTGATGTGTCATTACTAAAGACATTTTCCCAGTTTTCGATGTACACAGGATCAACACAATATCAAATGGGAAGCAGATGCCCTCTTCAACAAGTGGTGCTGGAAAAAAGGAATATCTACCTTCAGAAAAATGAAACAAGAACCTTACCTCACTCTATGCACTAGGATATATTCAAGGTGGATCACAGACCTTGAGGTCAAATCCCAAACTATTAGGGCCATCAGTGAGGGAATTGAGACAAACCTGAGAACTTTGGCACAGAGAATATATAGGCTATCAGAAATAGGGAAGGACACAAACAGAAGCACAGAATAATAATAGTATTTATTGGATTTTGTTGAAGATTAATGGATATAATCCTATCATAGACAGCATTGTACTTCAAGCTAGACCTTGGAATGTTCTTTTTGCTTGATTGTGTCATACTTGACAAAGTAAACCTGGTCATCAAAATGACCAATACTGGTTCTGTTCAGCTCCATAATGGCTAGAATACAGATCTTTCTGTGTTCCATTTAAATTTTGATGACTTCCAATTTTCCTAGAGTCTCATGCTGTACATTCCAAATTTCCACTATTAACTGATGTTTGGGCAATGGATTTATCCACATGACTTAATTTTTAAAAATGGACACTAACTTCATTTACCAACACGTCTAAATAAATCTTAGTGCCATAAACCAAAAGGTTTTCTCAACATTTTTGACTTTTTATTTTGATTGCTGTGCTTTCTAAAACAATATTTTATAGGTAATTAATTGCCCAGAATGAGTCAAACACTTTGTACATTGAGAACTTACTTATTTAAAAAAAATATTTTATTGGCATATACTTAATATATCATACATTTTAATCATTCAATCATATTAAGATTTGTGCAATCATCATCATAATCAATTTCAGAACATTTTTTCTTATTTATTATTAGTTCCTCATATCTCCCCATCCTCTGCCATGCCCTGTCTATTTACTGTGTCTACATATCTACCCATCCTCATTTTATATAAAGAAAATCCTACAAAACAAAACACAATCATACAAAATCATAGAAAGCAACCAAACAATTAAAAAAACCCAACAACAATGACTAGACAAAACATAGAAAAACTTCAATCAGAGTGAAAAGAGAACATATTAAAAATGGAAACAACATGGAACGGATCAAAGGGGATATCGAATGATAGGACATTAGATTTTAACTTAACTACATCTGCAGTGATTGACTTTGCAATTCTACTCATATGCCTCGATGTCAAAAGGAATTCAACAGAGACTTAATCCTTGAGGGTGAGTACACAACAAATGGATTTTAGTCTTCTACCATCTTCCATATCCTTCTGCAAAGCAGGTGTTTATAATTTAGCTTCCACATAATCCCCTCCTTTGGATTTGAATTTTATTAACTAGATTCCTTGGATCACACAAACTGGTATGCTTCTTCTGTGTGTGGACTTAGTTTACACCTCAAGTAATAACATCCTACACAATTAATAATATCTTACACAGTTTTTGCATTCAGGTGCATATTAGGAACACAATATAAGAGCAAACCCTCTTCATGCAATCCATTCAAGGCTTGTTGTGTTTCGGTCCTAATTTTTATTTATACCTTTGCCCTCTAGTTACCATGCTTTTGAATCCATGTAGGTCTAGGATAAAAGAATGGAAGCTATAGATAGTTTAATAGCTGAGTTTTATGATTGGGACCTACTTATTATATCCCTCTTACAGATTTTTGCATCATGGTTTCTGCTTCCAAGGATTCATTCAACCATTCCTTTATTCTTCTATTATTTTCCGTATAGTTTTTGATCATTTCACTAATTTAGGCTTAGTGAAGGAATTCAATGATAATTTTGTCATGTCAGTGTTTGTGGAGATCAAAATCATATAGAAAGATTCATTATATACATTTCCATAAGAAAAAAATGTAATGATTGGCCTGAGAGACTATTAGTTTAGAGTTGTTTTGAGAATAAATAGCTCATTATGATCAGGAATTTAAATGCATAGTCATACATATGTACTTTCAAGCTAAATTTATGATAAAAGATGCAACCCAGGATCATAACATATTGGTTAAGACTAGCGAAAAATTGCCAGCCTTGGAGAATCCAGCAGTTTTTCCACTAATATCTGGAAGGAGATTGGCTTTTATTTGAGATCTGAACAAGACAGACGGAAAGATAATAGCATCAAATGGTGAAGCAACAAAGAGCATAAGGCAAAACCCCCCAAATTCAATTTTGACTCATAGCACTCTATAGGTCATAGTAGAACTACTCTACAGAGATCCCAAGCTGTACATTTTTACAGAGCAGACAGGCACATCTTTCTCCCAGTGATCAGCTGGCCAGTTTGAAAACCAAATGTTTTAGTTAGCAGACAAGTGCTTTAACTGCTGCATCACCAGTGACAGTGATGCATATGTGGGAAAGTGAGCTACATCATATGGCATCCTGAAAGAAATGTTAGATCAAAATATTGAAAAGCACAAGCAGAGCTGAAGAAAATGCTTCCTTTAGCTAACCTTATGGAATTCACTAAGGAGACCTTTTGAATTGCACTGTTTGGAGTCAATGTACCCAAAATTGCTGTCTGCCTGAGAATGGTATCAGTGGATACTTCCTGCTCTCTCCAGGTTTGTGTGGTCTCAGTCTATTTCTTTTCCCAGGCTTGTTAGATTGAGGGTATAATATTGATGACTGATATTTGTTTAGTAAATCACCTATCTGAAGGCCATGGGGAGGGATGTGGGGTTAGGGGAATTTAGACTCACTTTCATTCTAAATTTTGAAACCTCTACTATCTTGGGAGTCCTGGTGGTAAGGTACAATTTCCTCTACTCCAGGACTCCTGGCTTTCAGTTTATTCCCTTCTTTGGATTCACTTGGCTACCTTGTTGAGGTTTTGACTTAGAGACAAACCCTTCAGATCCTGTACTCTTTGCTTAGAATGGCAACAGGCATTTTTTTCTGTGCAGGTGGCATTGTTGTAGATTCCAGTCTGTAGATGAACCAATTGCTTCCAGTAAGGTAAAACGTGCAATCAACAGGGCCCGCGGGAGGAGAAAGGGAAAGATATAATGGCTCATGGTGAAAGTCTCAGGGTTTTGTCTCAGGAAAGAAGGGACTTGTGGTCAAATATTCTGTGATTTCTCTTTTTACTTTAAATATTGCAACCATCAACATTTTTCATAATTTTATGGCTTTGCTTCCCAAACACTACACAGTTAACTCAGAATCAAGTTGCCTATTCATAATTTCTTTAAAACATTACTTTGCACTTTTCCTGTTTCTTAAAATGCATAGCATTACCTTAGAAACGTTTGCCTATTGCCATGAAAACATTATGTTAATGATTATATTTATTTCTTCCATTTTTTAGCTACTTTTGATCAAGAAGAATTTCTTTCAAACCTATATGAAGTCAATTTCTATAGGAATATCATATTTAGATGATTTTCATTGATATTTATCATAAATAAGTACCATGGACTGCCAAAAGAACAAATAAATCTGTCTCAGAAGAAGTACAGCCAGAATTCTCTCTAGAGGACAGGTTAGAGAGACTTTGTCTCACATACTTACATTGTGTTTGGTAAAGTAGAGAGTCAGCCAAAATGGAGGAAGGCCTTTGACAAGATGGATTGATAAAACGCCTGCCATCGTGGGTTCAAATATAAGAACAATTGTGAGGGACCATGGTGCAGGACCAGATAGCGTTTTGTTCTGTTGTGTGAAGGGGGGCTGTGAGTAGGAGCCAACTCTATAACAGCAGACAACAACAACAACATGTGTATTTTGCTTTCTCACAGAAAAAATTTTAAAGAAAATATTTATTGTTGAAATTAATTTTTATGCCACCCAAAGACATAAGTATTGTGAAAATTATTATGACATTATAACTTATATCACATATTTTTAAAATTAAAAAAATTCCAGGATTACTTAAACTATTCAAATTTAAATTCTTCTTTGTAATAGATTGGTGGGTTTTGTCTTACAGAATATCATGGTATTTTTCAGATGCAGAATTATCCTGAAATGAAAAGTAAAATCAAGATGCAAGCTTTAGTTTACCCTGGATTACAGATAATTGATTCCCATTTGCCATCTCATCTAGAAAACAAACACAGTATAATTCTAACCCGGGACATCGCCATAAAATTTGTGAGTCTGTATCTCACCAAGGATGAGGAACTTCCTCGGGCAATTGAAAGAAATCAGCATATGCCTCTGGAATCAAGGCATCTGTTCAAGTTTACTAATTGGAGTACCCTACTTCCCGAGAAGTTAAAAAAGAACCGAATTTATACTGCATCAGTTCTTGGAGGATATAACAGTTCACTCCCAGGACTTATGGACATTAGAGCCCAACCTTTGTTGGCCAATGATTCACTGTTACGGACTTTGCCATCAACTTATATTATTACCTGTCAATATGATATCTTCAGAGATGATGGATTTATGTATGCCACACGACTTCGAAATCTTGGAGTTCAAGTTACTCATCATAACTTAGAGGATGGATTTCATGGAGCTTTATCATACATGACTTTTCCCTTTTATTTACAGCTAGGTTTTAGGATAAGGGATATGTATATTAATTGGCTAGATCAGAATTTATAAATGCAGCATATATACATTTAGCCCTCACTGTTTGGTTTGTAATCGAGATGCTTTGTACTTATCATGCAAAGAACAATGCCATTTGTGTTTTCTAAATCTTGATTAGTTGTAATAGTTACTGAATGTCCTACAGCTAGTTCTTAGATATTCTAAATTTTTGGCCATCCATATAAAAATATATGTATTCTTGCCTATTTTCACTTGATTATAATTATATTACCCTTAATAGGGACAAACCTTTACTAAAGTTGAGAAATAAGAATGTTTATTCCAGGGACAGTGAATTATATACTGTGGCTCTTCCAGCCAAAGTCTCTAACTCTCACCAAATGATCTTTCCTTGCTTGGGTCTGATAAGAAGGGAGGGTGGGAATACTAGTAGGATTCACCTGTGAGGAATTGTGATTTGGATCCCCTGGAGTACATCCTGCTGTGTATAAACAGAGCCCTCTGGGAAGTAGGAGGAGGGATCTTATTACCAGCAAGGGCCAGGAGTGGAGCATATCTTCTGGATCCAAGATCCCTGTATCCGGAACCTCCTGGATCCAGATGACAGTTGTACCATCAGAGGATTAGCAGCAGAATCAGGATCCAGAGCATGGAACAGAGTGATGGAGTCCCCAACCCAAGGAATAAGTTAAAATGAATGCTTTTGTTCTGGAACCTGATTTTCAGAGTAGGGTGCCTCTGGACACTTAATTGGGCAAGTTAGACTTTCTGATCCACAGAAGTGGAGCTGAGTGCCTTTATATGGAGGCTTACTGGAGTGACGTGCTTCTGGGTATTTCACTCAAGGAGCTGGGTTTGTTGACCCATGAAATTTGAGCTGAATCCATTTGGTTTGAGGCATACCAATACCCATTTGGGCAATTGCTAGCAGAGTTGAAACTTCATAACATGTCATGGTAAACAACTACCCTGAACACTTTGCACTGGCATTACATCCTTAATAAACCCTTTAATCACAAATTTTGTCTGTGAGTTGATGATGTGTAGCCATTGCAATGGATATTAGAACCCAGAAAGATCAAGTAGAGAAGATAATGGAGAACATTAAGACAATTCAACTATTATCAAGTTAGGGAAGTTTTCAGGTAGACCCAGAAATTCTAGGAATCAGTAGAATATATATATATATATTTTTTTCTTTTTTAATCAGTGGAAAATATATAGAAATTACTTGAAAAACTTTGCTATATATTTTTCATGGTAGTTGTATTAGTTTCCTGTGGCTCCTATAGCAAATCCCCCAAACTTGCTGGCTTTCATTTATTTCCCCTAAATTTATTCCTCACGGTTCTGGACCATAGGACCCAAATCAGTATCAGTGTTGGCAGAGACATGCTTCCACTAGAGACTCTGGATGAGAGTGCATTTTTCTGTCTCTCTCAACTTCTGGTGGCTGCCAGTCTTTTTTAGCTTGTGACTAATTCACCCCAATCTTCAAGGCTAGAACTTTCAAAGCTCTCTCAGCTACAACTTTACATGGTCTTCGCCTCTATATGTGTTATAATTCCTTCTGATTCTCTTTTATTTTACATGTGATTATATTCCGCCTACCCGTACAATTCATGATAAGCTCCTGATTACAAGATTCTTAATTTAATTATATTTGCAGAGATGTACTGTTCTCCTTCCCTCATTCCCATAAAGTAGTATTCATAGGTTTTAGGGATTAGACTAGATATCTTTTGGTAAATTTTTTAAATATAGCATTTTAAGTCAACTTTTCTTAAGAAGAAAAATGCAGCATATACACACTTGATAAGATGCACATTTGAATGCAGAGTAAGAAAAGGTTTCCAAAAGAAGAGAAAACAAAACCCTTAAATATATCTTCTCCAAATTTTCCAGATAATAATTTCTGGAATCATTATGTTGATTTTAATCATAAACAAATAACTGAGGATGTCTGGTACTTACATTTTATGTCAACTTGAGAGTTGTGGATAGTTGTGTGGAGGTAGAGGTAGAGGTAGAACCCAACTGTACTGAAACAAGGGCCAGGAACTTTCTAAAAGTCTGAAAGAATTAAATAATGGGGTGTGTCAACCATGCTCACCTATCTTCTGTTTTATGCTAAAGGTAGATGGAATGTTTTCCATCTGCATTCTGTAAGGGCTAGGAAAAAGAGGAAGATCAGAGATCTAGATTCAAGAAGCAGCTAATCTACAGCTTTATCAAGGAAAAGGGGGTGTTGAAAAGGCCTTGAGTTGCACGGAAATTTGGAATACCGCTTCTTGGCCAACTGACTGGAAGGGATTCATATCTGGTCATTGACAAATAAGTGCTTCCAGTGTTTTATAAGCTTGTTGAAATGTGTCAATTCCCAGAGCTTTCTTTTTGGCGAATGCTTTCAGTGCAGATGGACTTCTTTCATTAGGATTAGTTTTGTTCAGATGCTAGCCTTTGAAATTGTGTAATGTTGACTAGTACTTTTTGGTACAGCGATTCTGTGTATTCTTTCCACCATCTTTTGATACTTCCTGCATTGAGCAATACTTTGCTCATAGACTCTTTCAAAATTGAGACTCAAGATTTCCATTTTTTCTGGACGTTTTTAGTTTAAGATATGCTAAGTGTATTCTTCCTTTTTAGTTTGCTAACTCTAGGTCTTTTCACATTTAATTATAATATTTTGCTTTGTCTTCTTGAGCTGCCCTTTGAAATTTTCTGTTCAGCTCTTTGACTTCATCATTTTTCCCATTTGCCTTAGCCACTCTTCAATTAGGAACATGTTTAAAAGTCTTCTGGCATTCAAGTTGATTGCTTCTTTCTTTCTTTCCTTCCTATCTTTTTGATGACTTTTTGTTTTCTTCATGTATGATGCCCTAAATATCATCCCATAGCTAATCAGGTCTTTTGTCATTAGGGTCAATATGTCAAATCTGTTCTTGAGATGTTTTCTAAATTCAGGTGGGATAGACTGAAGGTCTTATTTTTACTCTAGTAGATTTATTTTGGTTTTCTTCAGCTTCAACTTGAACTTACATATGAGCAATTGATGGTCCATTCCATATCCAGCCCCGGACCTGGTTTTAACTGCTTATATTGAGCATCTCCAGTATCTCTTCACACAGAGTAGTCAATTTGATTTCTGTATATTCAATTGGGAGAAGTGCATTTGTATATTTGCTTTTTCTGTGGTTGAAAGAGATATTTGCAAGAAAGAAGTCATTGTTCTAGAAAAATTATATCATGTGATCTCCAGCTTTATTTCTAGTACAAAGGCCATGTTTTCGATCTACTTTTCCTTCCTTGTTTCCACCTTTTGCATTCCAATCACCAATAATTGTCAATGCATCTTGGTTGCATGTTTGATCAATTTCAAGTTGAAAACATTGGTAGAATTCTTCAACTCTTCCTCGCTAGCTTTTATGGATGGTGCATACATTTGAAAAGTTGTTGAATTAAGTAGATTTCCTTGAGAAGGGGTAAAATATAATTCTATCACAGACAGTATTGTACTTCAAGATAGATCTTGACTATCCTCAAGATAGTCCTTTTTGAGGATGCATGCAATGGAATTCTTCTTGATTGTGTCATTGTGAGCATAGCAAATTATATTATATTATGATTCAAAATGCCTAGTACAAGTCCATTTCAGCCTACTAATGCCTAGAATGTGGATTTTTTAGTGTGTTCCATTTAATTTTTTTATAACTTCCAATATTTCTAGATGTATACCTCTTACAGGAACACCATCGAAAATATCAGGCTGAAAAACCCAAGGTCAGCAGTTCAAGCTTGGGGCTTGAGAGAAAAATGGATCACCACCCAAAAGTTCAGAGGGCAGGTCAGTTGGCAGGCTTCTGATAGCTCCCAGAGTCATGATGTACACAATTTGGCAGAACTCTGACTCAAGTTCAAAGAAGCAGAAGTTAATTAGCCAGGTGTAGGATCGAGACCCAGAAAGAAAAAAAAACTCTTCCACAACATGTATTTATATAGGAACTAGGACACACTCCCAGGGAAGCTTCCTTTAAATTGCATCAGACCAGTGATCTGCATAGGAGCTTGCATTTCATTCTTGACTTCTTACAACTGATTGGGTGTTCACAGTAGATCTCCATCATGAAGTTGATTACACTCTATTTGGTCACATTATGGGGCATTACTAAGTCTTAATTGCCAAACCACTGAAAATCCTGATCTAGACAAGTTGACATAAATCCTTACCATCACAATGTCTAACACTATTTTCCCAGAAAGGACATATTATTTTCTTTTATAAAAATATATTACTAATATGATCAAGTATATTGGTGCAAGACATGATGGATAAAATTTATCATTTTTCTTCTTATTACCATAAGCACTATCAGAAATTTTGAAAATTAAGTACCTGATTGTATTAAGAAACAAAAAGGCTTCCCATTAAAAACATAAAATAGATGCATATAATTTATTCTCAGTGCAAACAGAAGATAGGTATATTTTTTATATTGACTGATCATGTTCTGGGTAAAGCACAAGATCAATCCTGTTACTATTGAGCCTATTTGACTCACAACATAAAGTATAATTTAACCTAATTTTCTTAAACCATCAACTTAAATCACAAATGGAAAACAATTAATAAATAGGCTTCTTCAGAAATGATATAGCAATCTAGATGATATCAAAGAAAAAATTAAATTAAAAATCAAAATATGACTCTGAGGCATTCATAAGTCCTATTCTTAGAACAGTATTTTGATGTGTCCATCTCCATTTCTCAGCCTAATCTTGTAAGCTTCCCATGTAGCAATAGGATCTGTGAAATTGTGCAGTAAATGAATACTGCCTAATGTCATGTCCATGGCCTCATTACAGGTTACTTTTTCCCATACAAGGCACAGCATTGCAGCTGATCACTGAAACCATATTGTCACCAAGGCTATTTTGAGGCTTTGATCATTCGGTGGCCATGGAGAAGCAGTTTCCAGTTTTCAAGGAACCCAAAGGCTGCATAGCTACTCAGAGCATGCCTCCTTGATTAGCCTTCCTTCCCTTCACAA